CCTTCACAAGTCGTCATGTGCTGGAAAGCTATGCTGGTTATTCACAAGTTGCTGAGGGAAGGCCATCCAAATGTAAGTATTGGTAGCTATTTCAATCAACAGAAATATGTGAAAGACATCACAGAAAAAAATATGATTTAAAATGACTGAATATTAGAGAGCTTTAAATTCTAAGATGAGGATGACTATGAGAATTAGATTTTCCCAATACTAAGTAGTGGGCATGTGTGAGCCAACGTGATTTTGGCAGGAAAATATGATAGCCATCATCATTCTACCACAAGTTTTTAGTGAGAATGTTGTAGTGGAGAAAACAAGTTAGCAAATGTTAGGAATTTTATCATTTAGCAATATTGGGACAGGGCTTTACCTCGTTCAACATCAAGGGGTTGGGAGCTGAGAGGGGGAAGAAACCCTTCTCTCTCCCTCTTTCTTTCCTTTTGCCTTTCCCCTCTGCTTCGTCATACTGAGGTCCGAAAACCAATTTTGTTTTTGCAATGGCCTTAAGACACGTGTAAATTTAAAACATCAATCGAAAGAGCCAATCCTTACATTTACAGCAATTAGTCGTGTTTCACATATGTATTTTGGAGGAAAAAAAAGGTATTTAGGAAAGTGATAAAAAATGGTAACAATGGGATGCAGGATTTTTGTGAAAAAGGTGCTGGAATGCGGAATCAGAACCCCCCTTCCAGACCCTCCATCTTTATCATCAGTAGTATTATTATAATTTGTATGTCCCAATAATTAATATCCCCCTTTTTTCTATCTAAACAGGCTCTGAAGGAGTCTCTTAAATACAAGCAGATGCTAAAGGATATGAAAGAATTCTGGGTAATTTAGATTAATATAAGTCAGAATGAACAAATAAATGAGTTGAAATAATTTCAAACCTGTGTACAGATACATTTGTACAGAGTGAAAACTTGTGCTGCTCTTTACATTTGAAGTTTACAAGTTTTTACAGTGCGACTGGGAAAACGGTGAACACTTGAAATATCACAGAAATGTATATTGTGTTATGACCAATCACAGCAAAGATCGAGGCATGCAAACTGGCCACAAAACCACAAACTAATTAACGTTCTTGCCCGCTGTTTAGTTTTCTTATGCCTGATTGGCTTTCCCCTTGCAAGACAATAACATTCCAGAAATATTTCTGGTGTTCACGGTTTTCCCAGTTTGACTCCAGGTCTCTGCTTGAGTGCACGTGTCATGGGTCATAATTAATTGCAGGTTAAAATTTTTATACCTAGTTTGATTCTCAATTTCCTTCAAAATTTTTAAAGGAAAGTATGAAGCAGAACTGGAATTTTTTAGAGCTCATTCAACCAAATTTCTTCTGTGGTGTAGTGTGGATATATTTCTGGAGTAACTACTATAGAATTTGCTTACCTTTGCGTTATAGATGTTACTGTTCAACATGCACAGCCAGATGAAATAATATTAAAACTTGTTAATGTAGTAATTTTAAACAGGGCTTTTTTATGCGAACTTCATTAACTCACTGAGACAATAAAGTACATTTTCTGACTATCATAGAAACATTCCACAAAAGGTGGCTATGGTTGGTTAATTCACTCCTATCTAGCTGTGATTGTAGCCAAGTTGGACTTCCATAATAAGGTAGGGAAATCGATGAATAGAGTAGAAGCTCTCCTAACAGACACTCTTGTAAGCGGACAGCTCTACTTACGGCTGCCTTCCAAAAACCTTGTTTTTCTTAACTTCCATACAAACTTCCCATAAAAAGAGGCCAGTTCTAGTTATGGACACCTCTTTTGCGTCCCTAGGGTGTCTGCTAAGAGCGTCCACTGTTCCAATTTTCTCTTGAATGTATAATACCATTCCTGTTTACCCTTTCACTATTTTACAAGGTTTCATTGCAAGTTCCTCCTGTATTTCAGATCTGTTTTATAATGGAAATATACAGGAAATTACTGGAATGTGGGTCAACTACCAAGAGTTTTAAAACTCACCAGTAGCTGATGAATGGTCTGTGTTGATTGGTCATGCCATAACAATAACAAAAAAATTGTTGGGAAATATTCAATATTTTTTAAAAGATTATTGTTTATCTACAGAGTCAAAATTTTATGACTTTGCTGCATGTTAATTACACTTGAATTGGAATCTGAAACACAATTTATTAATCCATGATTACTTTTTCAATAGTTAAATATAATTCTATTTTTTTCTATCTAATCCTGTGATTTTGTAGAATGAGTCAATTCCAGGTACTCTTCGTAATAGTGATGGAGGACCAATCGTGTATTCTGGAACAGATGTCAATGATTAGTGAGTACCTAAGACATATATAAGTGAAGTATAATGTAATCTATTTTGTAGTGAGAAATAAAGTTGTCATTTCTCTGATCTGTTGATTTAAGTTTTATGAAAAGTGTAGTGGTTTCTTTAGCAAGATATATTGAGAAATTGAAAGCTATCTTTCATACAAAGCTGTCTGATAATATTTTGTTAATATAATCCTGTCTATAGTTTTGAGTTGTCAGTAGATATATTTGATTACCTGGACACATTGGTGGATCTCGAGAAAAGAGGTAAATGAAAGATCATATTGAATCACTGAATTTTTTTGTTTGCTGATCAGATTAAACTGGCTTACAAACTGAGCTTCTGACCTTTTATGGAACTATTTGGATTGGTACAAGTTGCATACTTTTTAATCTGTCTACAAAAGCCTGTACCTTCTCCTCAAACTGTTTTGCTCTGAGCACAACATATCCCAAACCATTATGTCTTCTGTCAAGTCCTGTTCTGTGGTTTTGCTGGCAGGGCTCAGGCTTCAGCTCAGCTAAAGGCACGGAAAAACAGGCAACAAAAAACTTGTTTTCATTTTAACACAGCAAATTTACCCAGCTAATAAAACTTTAAGAAGTTCTTGAAACTAAAAATATTCCACTCTTTTACATCACATTTTTAATTTAACTAATTTCTTGACCTCTCTCCTCCACAGAGGCACATGTGGTTTAGTTAAGATTTAAGTAAATTATTGCATCAAATCTTTGATTGTAGTATTTAGCACGCTTGATCCATTCCGTGCAAGTTCTCAGCTCCAAGCAGTGCAGTGTAGGATTTGTCCATTTCCAGTCATCATCCAGGTAGTTATTATAACTGCTTTTATAACTCTTTCATTTCAACCATGATAATATGGTGAAATTGTTTGTCAAGCTAACTTTTATATCTGCAGATGAAATCCTATCATTTTGCCATTCAAATAAAACCTCTTTGACAGAGCTTTTGAATAGTTTTATCTATTTCTATGGATTTTACTAAATAAAAAGAAATTTGATTTTTTTTGTGAATTTTTCTTTGACCACAATAAGGATTGAAAAGGTTTATTTAAGTTTTAAAATTGCATGTTATTCATGCAAAACATAGTAAAAAATAATAATCTGCCTGCACTGATTTGCCAAGTTAGTTGCAAGTTAAGCTAAGGACAGACTGCCTATACAGTACTGATCAATAAATTATGCTATTTGTTACAACCCACCTCTGCAACTGTTTGATTTTCATTTCAAATTTTCAGGAATGTGGTGGCTTATATGATATTGTTGTGGATATAATGTATAAACTGCATGCAAGTAAGTTGAGTTGTCATGATTTTTATGTCACTGGACTATCACAAATAGATTTAGTCAGTTACATTTTAGCTAGTTAATTCTGTTTTAGTAATGTGTCAGCAATAAGCATTTTATAGTTTCATACCTAAATTGCGGCATTATATTTGGCTGATCCATTTAACCCTTTGTTATTAAATTATGTGTGAGTCCTTCTTCACTCACATTTACCAGTTGAACCTCTCGTATGCGAACACCCAAAATCACAGAGTTAGTGGTTGCTTATGGGAAGTTGCCCCTTCCGAGAATTGAACTGCTGGTTGGAGGTCTTGCAAGAATAAGTCTGGACACTTCTACTTTTTGGAGAGAATGTATCGCAAGTATCTTGCTGTTTTTGTAACAGCCTGTTTACATGGAGGTGGGGGACCCCAGGAAGGGGAGGTAACCCACTTAGGTGGGTTAACCTGCCTGTTCATATAATCTCCATTTTAATTTGATCACGTTTACATGATAGGTGGGGTGACCCGCCACATGTTACCTCACCTATCTGGGGTCCCCCACCTCCATGTAAACAGGCCCCAAATCCCTAAAAGTTCTTTCAATACTCTGAGTAGCATTAATTACGTACAGCAAACACAAAGATCAAACCATTGTATCAGGTGGTCGCTTAAAAGAGGTGAAAAGCAATGCAAAATTAAAAAACTACATCCTAAAAAATGGTTGCAGTCGTTTATGTTGTTTACGAGAAGTGCCTGTTTAAAAGAGGTCCCAACTATCAGTTACATTTATTCACTGATATATGGACAGTTTTTGGGGAAGCTGTTCTTCTCAAATACTGATGAATGCTTGTATCATTAACTTGATTGTTACTAAAGAGATGTTTCCTTCATCTGTTTAAGGCTTGCCTGCAGATACGTTGGTTGGACATCGAGACAGGTTTTATGCCCATTTTGCAGAGTAAGTAGTTTTTGGTATTTTTTTAGTTAAGTTTAAACAGTTGTCTTTTTCAATTCCTTAGATTTTGAATTTTTTTCCATTTTCCTTTTTCAGGCTAAAGAAGTTCTTCTTTGATGCCGGAAACATGGCATATGTGAAAGCTTTGGTTCCTGTTCCTGTTCTCCCCCAGGTATATTGGCAATGTTACCAAGAAATGCATGTATTGATTATCTTTGTTAGCTTGTGTGCATTTATACATGTATATGCAGGGTTCTCCAGAAGCACTAGCTAACCACTGGCAAAAACCACCATCTAGGTTATCATAAAAGTCCCAACACTTTTGTCGAATTAACAATCAAAACGATTTTATCAAGAAAATGTGGTCAATTAAAGGTAATGTCCTCGTGGCTGAAGTTCCTTCCTTGATCCCTCAAAATACACTGAATTGCAATTTTGAATTCAAGGCACCCATCACATTAAAATTTTCTTGTGGGAGATTCCCCAATGGAAGGGAGGCAACTTCATTAGCAGCTATATATGCCATGTGAAAGCTGCCCTCTGTGTCTTTCAATCTTTCTAATATAAATTTTTACTGCGTACTTAATTTTTTCTCCTTCTGCCTTAAATTTTGTGGGGGACCCTGCATGTGGGCATGTCAATAAAGAAATTAATCAATCCTTAATTTTGAATTGCTTTATGTCAGAATCCGCCATCTTTTACACTGTCTGATCCCAAACCAGTACTGGCAAGAACTAAAAGTTTTGAAGGGCCCCCGCCCAAATCGGTGCCGACTGATGACTTTAAACGTCAAAGCCTTATGGAGCCACTAACTGTTCCCATTGCAACAGAATCATTTGTACAATCAACTCCCCAGGTATGTGTCATCCTAAGTAAATAGGTAGCTTAAGCAACAACGAAGGCGACGGCTACAAAAATGTCACTTAAAAAGTGAAAACGCTCTGCGTCAAACTTCATTGCGCTTATTCCATCTTGTTCAACTCATCAAATGCGGGGAATTTTTTCTGGAGGTGAATACTAAAAGAGTGTAACAAAGTTCAGGAAAAGAAAACCAAAGTCTTTGTTTTGAGTTCATGTCCTCCACAGTATATGAAATTAGGCATTTTCACACCGTAGTCATTCAGTGCATGTCAAAGAAATGTACAAAAAAGCTTGATGCACGTGCAGAGGTGTTGTTTTGCCAATCTAGACCTAATGCTTTTTTGCCGTTTTCGTTGACATCTTCTCATTTTTGCTGAAGCTTTCTAATAAATGGAAGCAAAGGAGTGGTTAAATTTTACAACTATTTGATTAAATCTCAGATATCTTGAGCTATACATTTGGTGCTTTGGCAATGCAAGTTGATTTTTATCGACCAGGCTCAAAAATTAAAAGGACCCATCTAGCAGCGGTCCAGGACAAGTAGATTTTCTTGCTGGGCAAGAAACTTTTAAAGATCACTTGCACAATGGGCAAGGGTCCAGGCAAGTCATGCTCTGTTCTAACAAGCGCGATGAGCATGACGAGCTTGAAGTGGCCCACCAGGGCAAACAAATTGTGAGAGCTGCTTGCCCAAAGGACAAGCTGCATGGAATTCAAGTTTTCTTGTGAGCCCTGCCAACCATGGTCTACCACAGGTGTATACTGATGTTTTGTCATTCTGTTTTGTATGTTAAATAAGACTCCAGAGGCTGATATTCTAGGATTAAACGCAACAGATGGACCCCAGCCAGATAACAGGTTTGTTTTTCAGTGAGTACAGTTGATTGATTTCTTTAAGGACTGTTTCAGCACTGTTTATGTTTATGGTGTAACTTTCATGTAATTTACATGTTTCAGTATGAGAGTGTCTCGCTGTTTAAAAACAGCCTATCTATAAGGTTAAACTGAAGGAGAATAGCACTTATTTTGTTCAGAGTCTTGAGAGTGATATACATTAATTCTTGAATTATTTTTCTTTGACTCCAAAGAAGTTGTTCTATTCTATACTTAAAATATTTGTAATTTCTGACAAACTTTTGAACCATCTATTCTAACCCATGGTGTAATTCTGTTTTAGAGACCTCATAATATATCAGCTGCGCCAGGAAATAGCACAATTGAAGCTGGCTCTTGAACGGCAGCAACGAGAAGTAAGTTCCTTTTGGAGTAACAGGATTACAGTCATTTCTGACTAACATGTACAAGCAATGAAAAAGAAAAACTCTGAAAAGGATTTTTTTATGGACATTGATTTTGTGTAGTGGTTTATAACCAGGAAGTATACATGATTGTAATTTCTTCTGCTTTGTGTGTCCTTAGGCAGAAGCCATTGAAGATTCTCTCCGTTCGCAGATTGCCAGGGTAAGTTATAACCCTTTTATCCCTAGCTATATATAGGGTGATCAACTTCTAACTTCTCCCTGTAGTACCACTGCTAAAACAATCGTGAAGGTTGTGAGAATAAAGAAAATGATCAACAAGTGTAAAAGGGCTTGATTGTTAAACATTCTCCTCAGTAAGAAAATACTAATCGGAAGTGCATGGAGAAATGTGTGGAGAATATCCATACTGATATTTTGGATAAATACATACAATATATGTGGGAATTGCATTTTTGTAGGGTTTTAGAAAGAGTAACTTCAGTTGGTACATGTTTCCACAGTTTGTTCTGTATTCTTGTTTTTCTTGTGTTTTTAAGCTTACAGATGAATTGGATGAGTATAAGACAATTGCAGAAAAGACCTGTGAGGTGAATAAATGCATTTTTTTTGCTGTCTTATATTTACTGTGAGCTTTCCAAATGATCTCCATTTTTAAGGATTGGAAAAAAAATGACAAAAATAGCTCTGATAAGGTGGAAAAATAAACTGCCACTTGGTTACCTCAGTTGGGAGAGTGCCGGTCAGCTGAGTGGGAGGTTACAGGTTCAAACCCTGGCTGGAACAACACTCAGGGTCTTTAAATAACTGAGAAGATTTAGTGCTGCCTTTGTAATGACATCTACAAATGGTTAGATTTTTTGTCTTCTTGGATAAGGAAGAAAAACCGTAGGTCCTGTCTCACAGCACTTTCACTGATCTGTTCTTGTGGGACGTAAAAGAACCCACACCACTGTGCGAAAAAAAATAAAGGGATGTAGACCCGGGTGGTGTGGCCAGGTTGTGTGGTCAGGTTGTGGGATTGGGTAGGGATGGCACCTCGCATGGGACCTATTAGTCCTGTTTGTGCTCGTTCCGTTTGGGCAGGCCTGTGTCCAGTAAAGCTGGTAAAATAAAATGTCATCACACTGGAAACAGCAGTGCAGCAAGTCACGGTGACAAGGGTTTTCCTCATCGGCACCCTAAGCTTCTTAGAGGAGGCTGGGGAGATTTGCTTGTTCATGGGGGTCAAAGGCCAAAAAAGATTTCAAACCATACAGAAACTGTTGAAGAAGTCTATGCCAGTCTTGTTTTTAGAAAAAAAAAACTGATTACTGAACAAAATACAATGTAATGTTATTATTATTTTTTAATATTATTATATTATATTTTCCATACTTTTTAGGAAAATGTACTTCTGAGAAAGGATCTGGAGACTAAAGATGATGACAAGAAAGGTAAAATGTTGATTTGATTATTTTTATTTATTTGAACATGTTTGAAAAGAATGCTGGGAAATCATCTAGTACCCAGTTCAGGGTTGTTCGTAAGATTTCCAGTTGCTGGGTATATGCAAGCCATTATTTTAAAGTGCTACATAAATGCTTTTTTGAATTCCAAAAGGCTTTTGAATTATAGAGAAGGGCTTTTAAAAAATAAAAACGTATAATAGCCGTCAATTAATGTTTCAGATTAGAGCTCTAAGAGTGCTTCTAAAGTGCATCCATTTCGCCATTTTTGAGCCTGCGAAGTTCTCAGTGGTTAACAAATGAATAATAAATAAATAAATAAATAAATAAATAAATAAGTAAATAATGATTTGGAGGTAACACATCCACAAAGTGGTTCTTTGTCTACCTCATTCCTGGTCGAATTGGAATTTAGAAATGTTGGTTTTTGAGGAGAGGGGAAACCAGAGTACCCAGAGAAAAATCTCTCAGAGCAAAGGAGAGAACCAACAACAAACTCAACCCACATATGGCCTCGACGCCAGCATTTGAACCCGGGCCACATTGGTGGGAGGCGAGTGCTCTCACCACTGCGCCATCCCTTGCTCCTGAACACTTGTGACGTCACATGGTTACAGTTTTGTTTTACAGATTTGTTTTTCAGTATCTAAAAACTCCTAATAATTAGCTCCATGGTAGGAGGTGCACTGTTTCTTGTGTGACGTCACAAGGTTACAGTTTTGTTTTACAGATTTGTTTTTCAGTATCTAAAAACTCCTAATAATTAGCTCCATGGTAGGAGGTGCACTGTTTCTTGTCAAGGACTTGCCCTTAAAGTGTCAGATTTGAATCTCTTTACACTGACAATAATATTACTGAATTTTGTGTTTCTTACCTCCCCTAATGAAACAGTACGGTTTGTTTAAATTCCAACCCCTTTAATTTGTCTAATTTTTAAGGAGGGGTGGAGTAATAGTAAAAAAGATAAAGCCACAGTTTATTGTCTGAAAGCGTCTTTTACTCCATTTTTGATAGCTCGTATTCACTGAGATTTCTTTACATCTTTCTGTAACTTCAGATCAAAAAGGGACATCAGAAGAAAAGTTTAACAAACTGAAAGGAATGTATGGAAAACTCAGAGAAGAACACATTCAGCTGTTAAGAACTGTAGGTTGAATACTCTTTACACTCTATTTTTGTTATTTTAAGGAACATTTCTTTACAGAGAAAAGTTTTAATGGCGATATGTACTCTATCTTCTTGAAAATATTCGTGAGTTTTCTTTTTGTTAATTCAAACCTTCTTTTTTTCTCCAAGTTACCTGCCAAAATTTGGAATAATGACCTCCTTGTTTGAACCTTTACTGTTGATAAAATTTGTTATGTAATAGAATTGTCAGAAGTATTAATCTATCATGATTCCTTTTTCTAGAATGCTGAAGTGAAGCAAAAACTAAGTGGCTATGAACGGGAAAAAGAGGTAACTGGTATTAATAAATGAATAGTTCCTTGGTAATTAGGGACCAAAAAATCAGATACACATAAACGAATGAGAGAAATGATTGGTGTTATTCATCTCGGGTGTTATTTGTCGTTATTGTTCTAAGACAAAAGGAAAATAGCAAATAAAACTGATCCTCTGGAGTTTTTTTACTCCTCCCCTCCGTCCCCCTCCTTCCTGCGCCCCATTCCAAGAAGGAGTTAAACCACAACAGATGTCTTTACTCTGGATCTCTGGTGTCGACATCCTTGCAGCCATTAGATACCATTTCTAGTGCAGCTTTACGGTCATCACGCCATCAAGAAGTCGACTTGTAACTCTGAAATAATTAACACGGATAAATACCTAGGATTACTTGCCCAAGATTTTTACTTTTTCGTGAAGCTTATTCGAATTTGAAGTCGACCCAAAGACAAATCTGTCGATCCTAACTGACAATCCTACCGTCAAATTTCTCATGCTCTTAATGCTCTAAATACTGGTTGTAGGTTCGGTAAATGTAAGCTTTGACATTTACCCTTAGAGAAAATTCCTGCTCATGAAAGTTCTTTTCGATTGTTGTGTATAATTGGGACTTTTTGAAACACTAAAGCCAAGTTCTATCTTTGGTGGCGATTTCGTTGGTGGCTAACCCGTGATCAGGCCCAATTTTAGCGGTTCTCATACATTCTCTCTAACGGCTATCGCTAATCTGTTTTCGTTTCGCCTTACCCGCCCGAATGTTATTTTCAAAGCGAAACGAAAATAGAGCCTGATCTCAGGTTATTGGTGGCGAGATAGTTTGGTGGTGAGGAGTTCGGATACCCTAGTGTAATATTCTCCTCATCTAAATGTGACATGCTTGTTTGCATTTTTTGGGAATACAATTCAAAGAGAAGATCGAGAAACTGATCATGGCCCAGCTTGACTGATAATAAGTAGGCATAAAACATGTAAGTTGTATATAATTTTTTTTCCAGGAATTAAGCCAAGCAAATGAGAAACTCCAACAGGAAGTAGATGACAAGGTAAATAAGTTGTTGAATGTAGCACCGAACAATTCTTTTTTCTTGGATAATTAATAACAAAAATTGCATTGGCAAGACACAATTTTAACATAAGTAACTCAATAGTTTTTATTTACAAATAAATTCGACCCACCCTGTTTACTTTTGTAATAATTAAACAGTGGTTCTGGAAAGCACAGGTTACTTAAAACAATCATGTGGAAAGTATTTGACTGCCTTGCTTGTAGGACAGGTAATAATATCGAGGAACGAGCTTTTAAAAGCTTAATCATGCATAACTGTCTAAGGAGAATAGGATTCCTTCTGCATAGGAGGGACGTTTTGCTTCAGTAGAAAATTTTATTTTAGATTATTCTGTGATAAGAAATTCATAGGTAGGTAATGCTTGCCTGACAGTTGTTTTTCCTGTACTTTTCATTCAAGAATCCTCAAAACTTTACACTCTAGTTTCTGCTAGTGATATATATGTGCGTATTTTTTTCTCGTAGTCAACAGAACTTCTGCGAGTATTTCAAAAATTCGAAATGGCTGAACAAAATGGAAAGGTATTATTTTAAAGAAGATGTATGTAAGGGCAGAGCAACTCAGTATATACAAGAATGCTGAATTCTGAAAGTTATTCCACAGTCTGACCTAGAACGTTATAACCTTTTTTTTTGTAAGGTTTAACGCTTTCCGCCGTAGTAGTGATCAGTATCTTATTTTCCTCAGAAAAATATGTTGCACTGATTTCTAGACAAATTCTCCTTATAGACATCTTAGCAAAATGTATGGAGTACGTTGTAGAGAATCTAGGTACAGAAAAGAGGGATTTAATAGTGAAAACATCATCTAAGTACAGTATGTAGCATGTAGACAAGCTCTCCACCTCCCAACCTCTCTCAGCTTGCTTTGCTCCACGCTCGTGGTGCATAAATGGTAAGCTAGCTAGCAGGCTACTAAAAATGAAACAGAAAATATTTAACTCGAGCGATATCGCCTTTTTTATTCAGAGAGCTGGAGATGAGGTTGAAAGGCTGGCAGAAGAGTATAATGAGAAGGTATTGCTTTTATGTTAAGAATTAGAATTTTTTTTTTTGACAAAGTATCTGGGGGTACTGGCGGCCATGTCGTTGGTAGATGGACGGCTCAAGAAAACCGTGCTTGACAGTTTTCAAAGTTTTAAATCTCTGTCTTTTGTATTTGGAAATGATAATAAAAAATCATGCAGTCCACGACACTGTTGTGTTCTTTACTCTTCTGCAATAGCTTAGCCAAACCAACTGGTTTGCCGAGGTGAAATCTAACTTTTTTGTTTTGATTTTTCTCCTTTAAAGATCGCTTCTCTAATGGACGAGTTAGAAACGTTAAAGAAAGAAAGGAGTGATACAGAAGAAGCAAGGAAAATAACTGAAGCACAAATCGAATCAATGAAAAAAGATCATGAAGAAAAGGTTATTGATACTTTTCTATTACCTAGCATTTTATATTTAGACTTCATCCACTTCGTTTTTAAAACAACACGAGACGCTGTCGAAGCACAGACGTGCTTGTCGCCATGTACATGTACTCAAGCCCTCAACACCTTTAACAAAACCTTCGTTCATGCGTAGCAGAGCACGCGCATTCCCTGCTAGCAGAGTTCTCTTTTCCTCAGTGGTATTCGCGGAACAGCCGAATACCAGAGAAAAGAGGCCTCTGAAAGCAGGGAAGCATGCGCACTTCTAACTTGCTCATCGTTTAATTACTCGGAGGATATGGGGCATCACGGAGCTCTCAAAACGACTTGACGTTCGTTCTTAGAAGTCCAGAGCTCACTGACTTAACTTGAGCCGCGGCCATGCTTATCAAGAGCCAACTGTCTGTCTCCTCCCAGACGGAATTTTGAACTCTGTTGTGTCTAGTTTGGATTCATTTTTTTAAACCTTATTAAAAGTGCCTGTACTAGGCATTTTTTTACGTTTACCTTCGGTTTAAGAAAGGAGATTCTAATGGAGTGTGTGACGTAACCATCTTTGAATCGACGAATTTGAGACGATGATACCAATATGAGGGTCTGGATATCAACTATTGTTGCGTGCTAGGTGTTCTATCCTTTATTGTTTTCAGGTTGCAGCCCTTCAGAGTGATCTTACAAATGTTCAAAAAGGAAGAACAGATGAAGAAGCAGCTAAAAGAACTGCAGAGGAAGCAATTGAGAGGGAAAGAAATGAAAATAAGGAAAAGGTTGGTGTGTTAAAGACTACTGTTACGTTTAGTCATACTGTACTTGGTTGTCATCGGTAAAGGCAGATACGGTCATATAAGCTTCTTTAGACAAAATAAAAATGTATTAGGGGTAATTTTTTTCCCAATTGCTGAATGTTAAAACACGTAATAACATTCATCTTGGTACATCACATGAAACGCATCGAGCTGCGGATGTTACAAACTTAGTTGTGCCATCGTTGTTTCTTTGGACAGGAAACTTTGCCACACTTTGTCTGTCGTATGCTCTTTTTTCGTAAAACTAGAAGTTGTGCTATAAGGATAGACTTCAAAACAGTCGGTATTTTTGAGTAGGTCATTTGAAAACCCGATTTCGAGAAAGAAAAAGCACTTTTTTTTGCAGTCCACGAAAATACACAATCTCTTTGTTAAACGTCTTTCAAGGTCTTACGCTAGAAACATACTAAAATGCAACATTATTCTCCATTTAAGATTTCGTCTCTTATGCTTGAGCTGGAGAAATTGAAGAAGGAAAAGACTGAAACAGAACTTGCCAGAAAAACAGCAGAGGACCAGGTTGAATCAACAAGAAAAGATCATGAAGCAAAGGTTCATATTTTCGTTTCGTTTACAGACTTGATAAATGGAGACAGTTACTAACGACCAGTAAGATTTTGTTGTTGTTGTTTTTCCTAGAAAAATTTAATAAATTCCATACACAGTTATATACAGTAACAATACGGTTATAGTGCAATTTGTCGGTAGATTATTTTATAGCCTGAAATGTGCTTAAAACACATGTCTTGATAGGCATAGTTTTCACCGATATGATTGGTACGATCGCTGGAAAAAGTAGTACAGTGTTATTGTTACAATTTCACGAATGCTTTTTCATATCATTCACTACTTGACTGTCAATCATGTGTGCACTAGGTTACTGAGTTGGAAAAACAGAGACAAGAAGAGCTTATGAAGCAAAATCAAGATCTAGTTGGTAAGGTTTGTTAAGTCTGTTGCTTTGCGTAATACGGACAACGTTTTTAGCATGTTAAAATATGCGTTGATAGATTTCCGGGCAAATGAGGCCTTTTAACAAACCACTCTAAAATTATACTAAAGATACATCGGCTAATGTTTGCGATTGTTCGATCTTTATGTAGCGGTTGACAGTCCATGCGACCTATGATTTTCAGGTATGGCTATAGAGACAGCCGAAAGAACAATACAAGACACACTGGACCACTTTGCGAATCCAAAACACAGTTCAACGACGTGCACAGCAGGTACAAACCAACATCCTTTATTTGTAGTGTTCGGTTTCTCTTAGACACCATAAGAGCCAGAAGACCTCTTAGATTGAAAACAAAAGACGGTATCTTGATGGCAGAACGTTGGTGTCATAGTTCAGCTTTCCTGTTGGAAAATCAAATGGCTTGCGCCCTTTCGTTTGCGAAGCTTCAGAAAACATGGGCTGTGATTTGAGGCGATGCAATTTTTCTACTCTTTTTAGTCTGTTGGATATGCTTTGTAACGGATCGTTCTCCCACCGCGTCAAATTTTATAGTTTTAAGTTTATGCACAAAATTTTCACCCGGGTGGTTTTTGAAAATTGTAAGCATTCCGGGTCTTGTTGCTGAGATTTTTGGGATCGTATAGTTAGCAGTATTGGCTTACTGGTGCCTTTGCGTCAATCATCAATCCCAAGGAAAATCCTAGGGCTGATGACTGGTGCTTATTTTTCTGAAGTTCCTGTTCAGGAAGATAAGTTTGGAGTGTCACGCTTCCCCTCTCAAACCCCCGTGCAACAACGGTGGTTGATGGAGCCGGCCGAAATCTCTTGGTTAAATAGAAAAAAAGTAGAAAAAAAGGAAGTTGATAGGTAAGTTTGGTATTGCTTTATAGCTGTGAAAAAATAAGTCATTAAAATTTTTGTATCGTCTGATTCAGCTTGTTTTTATTTCTTTATTTTTGCGTGATTTTTTTTCTTTTCAGATTATTTGTTAAGCAGAATTGAAAGTCTTCCAGGAGTTGTTGATGAGCTTAATTCAAAGTTTACTTCTTACCAGCAAGATTACAAAGGTGGGAGCTTAAGTGTCCAATGCTAAGTTATCATTTTTAGGAAATGGAAATGAAATTTACTGTTTGATAATATCTAAAATGTCTTAGATATTCTTCATAAATCGTTAATAAGTGTCTTTAATCATGGCTGGTTTTGTTGTTCATATTTAGGCGCAGCTCCATGTGCCTGCTGTATTGGGTCATTCTCACATCAGCTCAGCGAATGTATTCTGAACGCTANATAATATCTAAAATGTCTTAGATATTCTTCATAAATCGTTAATAAGTGTCTTTAATCATGGCTGGTTTTGTTGTTCATATTTAGGCGCAGCTCCATGTGCCTGCTGTATTGGGTCATTCTCACATCAGCTCAGCGAATGTATTCTGAACGCTAAGGCTACCTCACACATGGCTCCCACTCAAGAATCCGCAGGTCAGCGGTACAATCCATGTTAATAGGCCATTTGCCCATTACCTTAAGCCGCTTTTTCAAACTGGCTTGTTCTGGTGCTCATCCCTTCTTATGAAAATGTCTTTTCTTTCACATGCAAATAAAAGTGATTTTCGTAGGAGTTGTCGTGCACCAAGCCTCTCTTGTATCAAGAGCCTTAGTAATAGTGCAACTCGTAAATTGTCCATTTTTTCCCTTAACATATTTTCAATTTTGTCCCGGCGTTCATCCACAACAAAATGAGAAAAATAGTGAAGTGAAAAAGGAAATCACGTGAGTGATCGATCCCATTCAAGTGAAATACCTTAACGTGAAAAGGTGGAAAATATTGAAGATAGGAGAAAAAATTTCTAGTGTGGATGTGAAGGAGGAGAGATTGTTTAAAAAAGGACCATTGTGGACAGAATTCACTCGAGTCCTCAGGATTTGATCTACAGATGTGAGAGTTGACATCTTATTATTTTGTGGGATTTTGACTTTGAAGACAGAGATCATCTTTTATTCCGCTGAGCCGTGTTAAAATGATTTTCTTCTCCATTTTGCAGATCTTCAGTCATTTAGTGTGTCAGCTGGCAGGGAGTCTCTGGAATTGTTAGCACTTTATAAGCAAACCAATCCAGGTCAGCAATTTACTGAACATAATCTTAGTTAAACAAGTGGTTTGGTTCCAATTCTTGGTTGTGTTGCGGGAAATGTACCTAGCTAGAAGCGTTCTTAGCTACATTGCAACAGCTTCGAACCTTTTGTGGACACTTAGTGATAATAACCGTCCTTTCTTTTGACAAAAGATTGTGTTATGTTGGTCACGGCAATTGTCTGAACGTTTGGTTATTACCTGTACGTCAATTTGTTGTTCTTGCAGATCCAAATGCTATTGCTGATAAAGTCAATTCCGTTAAAAAGCAGATCACCGACATCATCAAAGTAGCTGAGGTGAGTCCATCTTGGTTATATTAGCTAGGGAAGTGGACAAAAGTGGTGTACAGATACAAGACCCACCCCCTTCCGTAAAAAGACTGGCTGTTTCTTTGTGTATCGTGATTTTATTTGCGTACTAACAAGTTTTATTGATGTTATGAACAGGCTCTTGCTCCTAAAGAGAAGGATAACATGGACAGCATTGGTGGTGAAGTCGAGGATGAAATAAATGCCACTGCTGAGGTGAGATAGATCTCCTTTTTGCGGTGGTTGTTTTAAGTCTTTGTGTTTTTCATCAATCATCTGAGATTTATTTTGTCATATTTTAGCTTGTCGCAGATTCAGCAGCCAGAATTGAGGTAAATATCTACCTAACATCCGCCTAATTTATTCTTATATGTCTTGATGGTTTCTGTAATTCCCAGTTTGGCTTTGTTGGATGGTCATATGCAGGGGAAGGTTGTTCGTCCTTTGGTAGCGTTTATTTTACAGTAATTTTTTCTCCAATGCGTACTTCCGCCTTTTTGTCAGCCAATCAAAATTTGGGACGTTCAGTTGGTTCAAATTCATTGCCTGTTCTTAGTTTTTCCATTCGGTGGAAATTTACGACAAAGGTTCTTCTTAGAAAACAACTTTTGTTAGAAATTCCACCTTTCGCCCATACTATATATATTTTTGTTAATTTCAGGAAATGATCAACAAGTCGCGGGAAAAATACACTGGTGTTCAACTTGAAGTAAACGGAAGGTATGTACTTCTATTTTTAATGAAGCCGTAAAATAATGTGAAACCTTTTTTTATCACTCGGAAGTGAATTTGATCAGCCTAGACATCATTACGTCACGTGCCGATAATTGCCTTTTGAATAATTGCCTACGGACATTGATCTGTTTGGGCGCAAAAGAGAAAAAAACGGTTGTGTTCCTTTGTTTTGCTGAAAACAATGCCCTGCAAATTGAGTAAAGAAAAGCAATAAAATAGTGAGTATTTTGAAATTTGCGAAGGAGAAGTTTGTTTAACACATGTTCTGTCTCCTCTTTACAGAATTCTAGATTCCTGCACTGCATTGATGGAGGTAACTAATTTATAATTTATTTTTGCAACATGAGAAGAACTGTGATATCAAACGAACGTTGTCAACGACTTAAGAAAAACTGTCGCACAGTTCTGTACATTCTTCCCGGGAAGGGGGTGTTCTCCGTTATACGGCCTTTACGGGGATGTGCCACTGGACAGGGGGTGGTTTTTGTCCTGACTCTGTCAGGGTGTTTTTGTACTCCAAGAATACAAGAGCAATGACCACAACGTGAATTAGTTCTATTGTGCAATGCCAATAAGTGGCTGTAAAATAAGACAAAGTGCATTTGATCGCTTGTCCTAAAAGGGGTAATAAACTTGAAGTTGTTGTCTTAAACAGGGTATTTATTTAAGGGTTTTTTACCTAAACAGGGTCAGGGTTTTAAACCCTGAGCGGCTCACCTATAACCAAATTCTGTTCGAGTACCCCCCCCCCTCTTCCCCACGCGACATTCTTTCAGTTTTTAGGTGTGGGCTAGAAAATTAGAGCCGTATTGTATCACATTTACAGACAAGACAGTTTGTTTAGTAGCCGTCTGGGTTCGAGCCTTCGGCTGTACGATCGCGTCGTTTCGCTAGACAAGAAGCTTTGTTTTACCTCGTCCTCTCTTTAATCATACTGCTGGGGTGAAGGATGATTTTTCGATAGGCTAGCTCCTCGTGTAGGGCGGAGTATTGGGACGTAAAGCTGGTTTATGTCTGTAGAAAATGGGATGAGCCTTGGCTGTGTGGGAGACAGTAATGTCAACTGTACCCTTTCCTTACGTTACTTAAGAGAGTAACTAAGGAAGTAGTCAATGGGTATTCGAAAAAAAGTAATAACGAATAGTTTTACGTATCATATCTCACAGTCTTCAGCAAATGGTGCTGGCTGTTGCATCTTTATTCAGTATTCTTCTCTAAACAGAGGTCGGGGATTGATGTTTCCCTGATATGTAACCATTTTTGCCACGTGACCGAACTGAGGTCGCGTGACGACGCCTGAGCTGTCTTTATTCGCTAAATATAGACCGTGAGACAGGATTGAATACACTGTTGTTATAAAGCAAGCTTTTGAGCTTAGATTTATTATATCAAATAACTGAGCTATTGTACGCGCTTTGACTGCAATACCTATTTTCAGCAATATAAGCCTCTTGAAACCCAAACTTTAAAGTATATTATTTGCGGTAGTTTTAAAATATTTTAGATATTCAACTGTAAGAAATGAGGATGTTGCTAAAACGGAGAACGAGGAACGTGAAAAGTGAAAAATAGAAACAAAACATAACTTCAACCATGTCATTACAGTAACTTCATTACATCTTTTCTGTTTTGCTCCCATTTTTCATTTCATCGTTCCTGGTGCTTGCTCCCTCTTTCCTGATTCCCGTTCCTCGTTTTAGTAACATTCTAAGAAAAAAAGGTATCATATTACTTAAATTGTAATTTGCATTTGATTTCAGGCAATAAAGAAGTTAATAATGAAGTCCAAAGTATTACAAAAGGAGATTGTCGACGAAGGCAGGGTGCGTGTTACAAATATACAAGAAAAACTTCCAATAAAGTACAAAAACGCCTCGGTGACCCGACCAACCCTACATGGTTGGCTTAAACGAGAAAACTGCCTTCATCACTCAGGAGAATTGAACAAACTTGACGCCAGTGAAAGAACAGTAAACAATAAGTCCCAGTTCGATGTCGTTTTCTCAAAATGTTCGCGGTAGTGGCGACCTGACTCCCCGAGTATAGTCGTCGATTCCGTCATCCCACCCCTCGGTTCCACGAGCACATAGTATAGAATTTTACGTTAATTTCCGCACAGCCTGAGAAAACAACCGACATTTGGCGACGCTACCACTGGTTTCCCCGCCAAATGACGTCTGAGAAACGAGCGCTGAAATTCTATATTGATGACGCGTCACTACCCAGATCTGGGTAGTGCTTCTGATTGGTCGTGCTGCGTGGGAAATTTGATTCAACCAATCAGAAGCACTGCCCAGATCTGGATAGTGACTCGTCATCAATATAGAATTTCTGCGCTCGTTTCTCAGACGTCATTTGCCGGGGAAACCAGTGGTAGCGTCGCCAAATGTCGGCTGTTTTCTCAGGCTAATTGCCGCATGATTGTCGTATAGAGTGTTTTTTTGTGACCTGCCTTAGAAATTTACGAAAAAAAATTACGTTCTGTTGTGAAAAACCGAGAATTAAAGCGCTCTCAGTTATTTTTCAAAGGTTTGCGATTTTTTCCAATCAAGATTTTTGAAATACCAGCGTCTTCTGGTCCGGTTTTTGTGTGTAAAATGCTGACAAAACATGAAGACAGTTGTAGTTCTCAATACGATCTGATTTAGTGCTTCCAGAAGTTGTTTCAGTTTAGTTATTTGAGTCATCTTCAAAAGATAATCTTTCAAGGGTGAATCTTAATGCTGTTTTCATTCAAGTGACTCTGCTGATAAAGTTGTTCAAGGGCAAGGCAAATTTGAAGAGATCGTAGTGGCTTCCAATGAGATCACAGCAAGCACTGTTCAGCTGGTGAGTAAAACTACAGAGTATTAGAGACTTCTGTTTAGGTTTGAGGCTTATGAACACTGCCAATGCCCTTCCCTTCGCTTCTGCACACGGACAATCTCAACCAGAAGGTATTGTTGTGTTATTCATAATCAACAAATGCAAACTGTAAGGAATACAAACCATTAAGATGCCCAAAGCAACAGAAAAGGGCGGGTCTTTGTCGTTCCTACGTATTAAGGGAACGGGTGTTGTCTGTTAAGTGTTTTCCCAGGCATGAACTTTCTGCCTGCTCATGACCTTTCTTTAGCTACCTGTGACATTTGTAACAAATGTGAGCTCGTACCTCCCTGATCCTCGGGAAAAACATCTCTGGTAATAAATCCTACTGCCTTTTGGGGGTTTGATATTGCTGAATTTAAGTAATTCTCATTTCTTTCATCTGTTGGTTGATGTAGGTAGCAGCGTCTAGAGTGAAGGCTCGACAAGCGAGCACTGCGTTATCAGGACTACAGGGGGCCTCTAGAAATGGTTTGTTTCAGTTACTGACTTAAATGTTTCTTTATTGCACCCCCCCCCGCCACATACATACGCACACTGCCCGCTTGGTTTCTTCTGGTCTTTGAACCTCAGCTTAAAATTTACTTTCCTTAGGGACTTTCCCCTGTTCCCGTACCACCTTAAAGCGCAACATTCGTCAGGATCCCTGTATTTACATTAACGCTTTTGTGTAGTCGGAAAATGTAAGGTAATGTAGTAATTTCAACAAAGATAAAACTATAGTTCAAAGTTTTTAGACCTGACCTTGTTTATTCAATGGGCATTTGATTGCCCCTTTCTCAAAAAAGAGAAAGATTTCGGTAGTTGTTCGGGAAGGTACGACTCAGAACATTGTTGACGGAAAGTAAGCAACCGTATATCCTCTGTATCGGACACTGCGCTAATATTATATGAAATAGGCAGGTTTCTTATTTCCTTATTTCTTTAGTTGTATCTGTTCTGTACGCGTGATTTCAATGTGGAATTTCCTGATCTGTTTCAGTTGTCGAGTCTGCTGCCGGTGTGGTAGCATCCGCGAAGACTGGGGCTGAAATGATTGAAGACAGCAGTAAGTTATTTTTATTTCCACCTGACCATTCACCCGGAACCTTGCGCGCTTATTTTCAAACTCTACTACATGTGACCATCATGACTAAGTTCTGCTTAAGCAGTTGTCAGTCATAGAACCGAATTTCGAGTCACCCGTTCGGCATTGGACAGCAGTTAAGTACTGCTCTCAAGCTGTCAGTTGAAAGTTCAGTGCCCAGATTTTCGAAGACATCCTAAGTTGTCTACCTAATGTAGGCACTTGTTAGGAAACAAGACGTGGAATATATATTTTGACTTGAGAGGGGATAGTGTGTCAGTCCAGCCCTTGGCCAATAAATTTTCTTCACTAGGCCTATTAGGAGGATGGTTCTCCTGCTCCACAGATTATACTTGTTAGGGTCAGCCCCTTAGCTCTTGTAGAGTAGTGTGTAAGCTCGCAAACTCCCTGCAATGTTTTTTTTTTCCGTAGAAGCTGTTCCAGATTATTCCAAGCTAACTCTCACGCAGGCAAAGAGACTGGAAATGGAGTCTCAGGTGTGTAAATCTTATTTTAACCTTGTCACTTTTAATCGTGGTCTACTGGAAAATTTATTAAACGAACTTCTTAACTTCTTTTTGTAAAATCCAAAGAAATAAATTGTTCTATGCAAACGATCTGCCAGCGAGGTTTTAAAGTATATGAATGGTAACATTACAGAGTTTTGCAAATGGATTCCAAAGTTAGAATAACTTATCATCTCACCATGACTCAGTCTAGGACTGAAAGGGTCAGTTAACCCTTCTTCTTTCTACAGTTGTAAAAATAAAAATGCAACTGGATAACAAGATGGAGATAGTCACTGTTAGGTTCACCCTGCCGGCGGAACCTTTCTTTCACTTTCTTGATTTTAGGGCACTAGAGAAAGACTCTGCATAAATCCAGTAAGATCTTTGTTGAGCATGCGCGGCATGTGCTAAGATGTACTTTCGAACCCAGGCCTAATAGCTGTGTGCTTGCTACAGCAGGCTCGGTTATGCCTATCGATTTATAAATAAACGGATGCCCGCACTCAAAAAAAAAAACAGTTAACGAGAGAGAACAAGGTTGAAAAGTCTGCGGCGATCTCAAAGGCTTGACGTGATTCAGGTAGAGCTTCCTTTTTTCCTCCTTACTCAAGAAGACAAAAGGAAACTCTGCTCGTAGGGTGAGTTAGGTTTTACTTGTGACTGGAGGAGGTCCAGGAAGATATTTTTGTTTGGATATTTTTTCGCTTTGTCAGCCGCGCTTTGGTACCAGTTTCACTGTTTATCATTTGAAATTGTCTGTTTTTACTGTACGTTTAGGTTCGAGTCCTTGAACTTGAAAGTCAAGTGACCAAAGAGCGTCAAAAACTAGGAGACCTGAGGCGAGCGCACTACCAACTGGCCGGAGTAGAGGAAGGACTAGGAACTGAGTAACCAGGTGCTTTATCCGGAGAGTATGTGATGAGATGTTTTAGATTGAAATTAACTAAAACACCGCCCCCAACCCCATTTGACTCTGCTCCCACACCTGGATGCATGTGCAACCAATACCAATTTTCAAATATAACCAAAACATTTAAAGCAAATACAACTTAACATGTAACCATCTTGCGTGATACAGTCAAACGTCTTAATTACAATTCCCAAAGGAACAAAATCAAGTGTCGGTATTTATATGGAGGTGGGAATTGTGTGACCTTTGGTATCTCTGGGACCAACAGTACTGTACAGAACAGATCAGTACAGTACTGGGACCCGATGAACTGCTCGTAGTAGAGAGGTGTCCTTGTGAGGAGATTCGACTGTAAAGGGAAAATAGTGAAATTCCTGTTATACGCTTTTGAATAGCCAAAATGTCCAGAAAGTTTAATAAACGTTTCATGACACAAACTTAAGCACGCGGAATACTCACGGAATTTTTTACCTCACACTGTAGGAACATGACAATTGAAGTTTAGTTCAAGAAACAAAGAAAGCTGGCACTGGTATCGCGAGTACAAAATAAAGGGGAACATAACAAATGTCACGCCTGCTTGATATTTGTGCTGGATTGCATGACGTAGTAAATGAACTATCTTGGATTGGACTAGTGGCTTTCCAGTCGACCCAATGTACGTTTTGTCAAATGAACTCTCTTCTATGACGTCGTTATACTGCTAAAGATGCTGGGACCAAATTCCCATATTTAAAAGTTAGGTCAGAGCCTGCTAGACTGTATCGCTGGACAAATAAGATTATTTCATTGACAATCAACATGGAGTGCAGATGAATCCCAATTGACAATTGTAATCGACAAAGTGAAGTACACTATAGTTCTTGGGATTTTCCCAGATGACTAAAAACACGTCCTAACGCATATCGCATCTCATAAGTAGGCCTCATCCTTGGAAAAGCTTCCGCTACGACAGCTTTTTAGCTTGGCTCCTTGAGGGTGCTCAGAGTTTTCAGTTTGACGACATCTCAAATTTCTTTTAAGGAAGTAACGGAGGTACTTCTTGGGAAATACTCTTTGGTGTGTTCGATAAAATTTTTCAAATTATTGATCGTTCTTTGAGAAACTGATAGTAGTAGCTTATTCTTTTAATGACGCGGACCGGAGTTGGCCTTTTTTAGGTTCTCTCTTAGTGAATTTTTAAAACACTTTATATCAAAAAAAAACCTATTTCTCTGATTTCAGAGCATTTGACAACAACAAAAAGCACTGTCGCTTTCATCAGTTTTCTGGTGTTTGGAAACCGTAACTTTATCCCTCTGAAGTTTCCTCCACAAAAAGACTTTGAAGTACCTTAGTTACGCAGTTTAACGGACATAATTAGTATAGCTATCAAAATGTACATCTGTTAACTCCAGGCTTAAAGCGCTGCAGACTCTCGCGTCAGCATTAGGAACAGAAGACATATAATAATATATTTAATATACTCAGTAACTAATTTAGGGTAGTCTGCAAGAATTTTATTACTTTGGAACCATCAATGTAGAGTATATAGTTTTCTTAGGTATAGTTCTGGTGCTTTTTTTGTTCTCGAAAAACATTTTGTGGTTGGCTCTTTACATAAAGGTTTTTTAACCAATAAAGACTGCTACGAACCCTTGTATGACTGTGACAGGTGCGTTATTATCGTGTTTATGCCAGTTGTGTGTAGTAGTAAAAATGAATCAAGAATGTTTTGGAGGCTAGACCATTGACCACAATTTTCATTTTGGCAAGAAGATGCCATCTTGGGGATTTTTCCAGAGGGGTTAGCCTATGATTTTGGGTCAGTATTTGAAATTTGCTAAGTTTGTTTCTAGTTTAAATGGACCAAGGTTTGGCGATGATTTAAATCGGTAACAAGGAGACCAAGACTATTTACCAAGAATTCGAACTTTGCTGACGGTCATCTTAGATTTTTTTAAAGGGGTAAGCCTATAATGTTGTTCAAAATGTCTAATTTCCTCTGCGTTAATACGTTTGTTGTTGTCCAAATGGACCAAGAAGTTATGTTTGGCGATATATTAGGGTGGAGACAAGGCCATCAAGACCGTTTTTAAAGATTTAGTACTCGGCAAGTTCCGCTCTTGGATCTTCTGTAAAGGGGTTAGCGTTTGATTTTCGGTCGACATTTGAAATTTCCTCCATTAGAATGAATCAAGAAACGGTGTTTGGAGTGGGGACAAGGACAGCCATACCATTTACCAAACAAGAAACAAGACCAAACAAGAAGTTGAAAAAGTCGAAAAAATGGGATTTTTCCAAAGGGGTTAGTCTATGGTTTTGGTCAAAAACTGGTAATTTTTCCAGATTTTTCTTTTAGGGAAAATAGGCCAGAAAAATGTGTTTTAAGATATTCTAGAAAAAAGAAACGCCTCTTTAGACTATAAAAACAAGAAGATGAAAAAGACCAAAATTTGGAGTTTTTCAAAAGGGGTTAGTCCATGGTTTTGGTCAAAAATTGGTAATTTTTCCAGATTTTTATTTTAGCGAAAATAGGCCAGAAAAATGTGTTTTACGATATTCTAGAACGAAGAAATACCTTTCTAGACTATGAAAACAAGAAGTTGAAAATATCAAAAAACTGGGACTTTTCCAAAGGGGTTAGTCCATCGTTTTGGACAAAAATTGGTAATGTTACCAGATTTTTATTTTAGGGAAAATAGGCGAGAAAAATATGTTTTACGATTTTCTTGAACGAAGAAACACCTTTCTAGACTATAAAAACAAGAAGTTGAAGAAGTCAAAAAACTGGGACTTTTCCAAAGGGGTTAGTCCATCGTTTTGGACGAAAATTGGTAATTTTTCCAGATTTTAATTTTTGAGAAAATAGGCCAGAAAAACAGTTAACGATATTTTAGAAGGAAGAAACGTCTCTGTATACTATAAAAACAAGAAGTTGAAACAGTCAAAAAATTGAGATTTTTCCAAAGGGGTTAGTCCATGGTTTTGGACAAAAATTGGTAATTTTTCCAGATTTTTATTTTAGGAAAAATAGGCCAGAAAAATGTGTTTTACGATATTCTAGAACGAAGAAATGCCTTTCGAGACTATGAAAACAAGAAGTAGAGAAAGTCGAAAAATTGTGATTTTTCCAAAGGGGTTAGTCCATAGTTTTGGTAAAAAATTGGTACTTTTTCCACATTTTTTTAAAAAGAAAAAATAGGCTAAACAAATGTGCTTTACGATATCCTAGAAAGAAAGAAACGCCTCTCTAGGCTATAAAAAGAAGAAGTTCAAAAAGTCGAAAAATTGTGATTTTTCCAAAGGGGTTAGTCCATGGTTTTGGCCAAAAATTGGTAATTTTTCCAGATTTTTATTTTAGCAAAAATAGGCCAGGAAAATAAGTTTTATGATATTCTAGAAAGAAGAAACGCCTCTCTAGACTATAAAATCAAGAAGTTGAAAAGTCCAAAAATTGGAGTTTTTCATAAGGGGTTAGTCCATGGTTTTGGTCAAAAATTGGTAATGTTACCAGATTTTTTTTAGGGAAAATAGGCCGGAGAAATGTGTTGTACGATATTCTAGAACGAAGAAACACCTTTCTAGACTATGAAAACAAGAAGTTCAAAAAGTCGAAAAATTGTGATTTTTCCAAAGGGGTTAGTCCATGGTTTTGGTAAAAACTTGGAAATTTTTCCACATTTTTTTAAAAAGAAAAAATAGGCGAAACAAATGTGTTTTACGATATCCTAGAAAGAAGAAACGCCTCTCTAGACTATAAAAAGAAGAAGTTCAAAAAGTCTAGAAATTGGGTTTTTTCCAAAGGGGTTAGTCCATGGTTTTTCTGGTGTTTGGAAACCGTAACTTTATCCCTCTGAAGTTTCCTCCACAAAAAGACTTTGAAGTACCTTAGTTACGCAGTTTAACGGACATAATTAGTATAGCTATCAAAATGTACATCTGTTAACTCCAAGCTTAAAGCGCTGCAGACTCTCGCGTCAGCATTAGGAACGGAAGACATATAATAATATATTTAATATACTCAGTAACTAATTTAGGGTAGTCTGCAAGAATTTTATTACTTTGGAATCATCAATGTAGAGTATATAGTTTTCTTTGGTATAGTTCTGGTGCTTTTTTTGTTCTCGAAAAACATTTTGTGGTTGGCTCTTTACATAAAGGCTTTTTAACCAATAAAGACTGCTACGAACCCTTGTATGACTGTGACAGGTGCGTTATTATCGTGTTTATGCCAATTGTGTGTAGTAGTAAAAATGAATCAAGAATGTTTTGGAGGCTAGACCATTGACCACAATTTTGATTTTGGCAAGAAGATGCCATCTTGGGGATCTTTCCAGAGGGGTTAGCCTATGATTTTGGTCAGTATTTGAAATTTGCTAAGTTTGTTTCTAGTTTAAATGGACTAAGGTTTGGCGATGATTTAAATCGGTAACAAGGAGACCAAGGCTATTTACCAAGAATTCGAATTTTGCTGACGGTCATCTTAGATTTTTTAAAGGGGTAAGCCTATAATGTTGTTCAAAATGTCTAATTTCCTCTGCGTTAATACGTTTGTTGTTGTCCAAATGGACCAAGAAGTTATGTTTGGCGATATATTAGGGTGGAGACAAGGCCATCAAGACCGTTTTTAAAGATTTAGTACTCGGCAAGTTCCGCTCTTGGATCTTCTGTAAAGGGGTTAGCGTTTGATTTCCGGTCGACATTTGAAATTTCCTCCATTAGAATGAATCAAGAAACGGTGTTTGGAGTGGGGACAAGGACAGCCATACCATTTACCAAACAAGAAACAAGACCAAACAAGAAGTTGAAAAAGTCGAAAAAATGGGATTTTTCCAAAGGGGTTAGTCTATGGTTTTGGTCAAAAACTGGTAATTTTTCCAGATTTTTCTTTTAGGGAAAATAGGCCAGAAAAATGTGTTTTAAGATATTCTAGAAAAAAGAAACGCCTCTTTAGACTATAAAAACAAGAAGATGAAAAAGACCAAAATTTGGAGTTTTTCAAAAGGGGTTAGTCCATGGTTTTGGTCAAAAATTGGTAATTTTTCCAGATTTTTATTTTAGCGAAAATAGGCCAGAAAAATGTGTTTTACGATATTCTAGAACGAAGAAATACCTTTCTAGACTATGAAAACAAGAAGTTGAAAATATCAAAAAACTGGGACTTTTCCAAAGGGGTTAGTCCATCGTTTTGGACAAAAATTGGTAATGTTACCAGATTTTTATTTTAGGGAAAATAGGCGAGAAAAATATGTTTTACGATTTTCTTGAACGAAGAAACACCTTTCTAGACTATAAAAACAAGAAGTTGAAGAAGTCAAAAAACTGGGACTTTTCCAAAGGGGTTAGTCCATCGTTTTGGACGAAAATTGGTAATTTTTCCAGATTTTAATTTTTGAGAAAATAGGCCAGAAAAACAGTTAACGATATTTTAGAAGGAAGAAACGTCT